CTCAGAGGGGGGCAAAGAAGGGGTGGGAGTGAGGTAGGGGCAGAAAGTGGAGACGAAAGCAAGCGACAGAACAAGGTTAGAGAACAGGAAAAGAGGTGAAAGGAGAACATTAAGACTTTAGAGACGAACATTTTCCGTCGCTCTCAGGTTTCGAACCCGGGACCTATTGAATGAGAGGCAAACACTGTAACCTCTCGAATACGAGAGCCCCCGACTGTATTTTATTACTTGCATCCCCTCAGCTTCCTCGTAAAGACAAGATGTGCCCAGCCCAAGGCCCTGACAGTAATGGCGGACGTGGTGAGAGCCGTGTCACAAGGCTCCGCTCTGAGGTATCAGATCGACGACATCACCAAATGTAGCGTCCTCCCGGGTAGCTCGCCCAACAACCTGGTCCTCTACGACCTGTCCTGGGAGGTGAGAACAGCTCGTCTCAACAACACGGCTGGACAACGGTCATTGCTGGTCTCCAACGAGAGACAGGTCAACGGTTCAAGGTCTGGAGAGCAATGTAAGTGTGTAGATGCATCATCATAATAATCATAATCAACATTGTAGGGAAAGCAGGTTGAAGAAGGAGAGTTTAAAAGATGTATTCAATTTTTATATTTGTTAGAGCTCATTATTTCGCCCCGAAGGCTTCATCATCATCTTCTTCATCATCATCATCATCGTCATCATCGTCATCATCATCATCATCATCGTCATCATCATCATCATCATCATCATCATCAAGATTTAAACCACCTCCAACACCGCCATCAGCATGGACACAACAGTCACACAGATTCTTCTATTCGATGATACATGGGGTCGAATCTCAATTAGCCATCTATCGTGGGAAAACGCCTATTTGTTAAGACTGATCTCCTGTTCGTGTGGCAGCTAGACCGAAACAGTTTACATGAGCACACCCCGTACCCTAGATATCTGTTCAGCATGTTATCGAAAGCAATGTGCATGACGATGAACGAATTTTGCTTTAGCTGATGCCACCACAGAGCTTGAATCAGCATCGCAGGCCCGTTTTATTCACAGTACAATTCTATTGTTTGAGGCCACTCAACACACACACACACACACACACACACACACACACACACACACACACACACACACACACA